AGATCGGAGGAGCCCAGCGCACCCATCTTAAACATTGTATACGCTTCTCGATTTGTGCGTGTCATCCTTGCGCAGGGGCCATGCTAATCTTCTCTGTATCGTTCCAATTTCAACGGATGACCCCCGAAGGGAATCCTGGCCCGAGATCGGCGGAGGAGGAGGCGGAGGAGGGCCCGAGGCTGGCACCCGGCGCGACCAACATCAGGCTGCCCTTTTTGTGGGCGGCAGCGGCACGGCTCGTCGCCGTTGTGCTCTCTACAGGGCTGCACGCTCTGCCGAGGCCGACGACGCCACAGTCTTAACGGGCGAAGGGCGGCATAAGATAAACTGTTTCGTTGTCGGGGGCGCCTGTCCCAGGGCGGCCGGAAAATATATACTCTTACGGTGGCATCGTAGGGGTATAAACTTTCCAGCCGCCCAGGGACAGGCGCCCCCGACGGCGAAAAAGTTTATGTTATACCGTTCTTCGCCCGTTAACAATCACCGGTCGCAGTCACGGGTAGCGGCGCAATACGGGGCGCAACGAGAGTGAGGTCGGGCATGTCCTCCTACAGGCGGATTTTGGACGAAATATTGACAATACTCACAGAATGCTCCCACATAATAGAAACATGGTCGAAGGATCGTCCCCAGACTATTTTTACTATTTCTGAATATTCCTCCTGCAGGGGGCCATGCCCGACTTAAAATGAGAGGAAGCACGTACCGTGCTCACCGGCAAGGACGCCAGGGGAGCTCGATGCCGAAGACGCGGCCAAAGCAACGGCAGAGTCGCGGCAAACTCGGTCGTCGAAGCAAACGCTGGAGGCCGCGACGCATCTCCTCCTCCTCTCCTTCTCCTCACCATCATGCTCCTCCCCTCGTGTCCTCACCGTCGAAATCGTCGTTGCACGTGACTTCACGTTGCCATGCAAGGCCCGCATGTCCCGAACCTCCCATCCCTCTCCCCGATACCGTTCCCCCTCTTCCCAGTCCTCCCACCGCCCCCCCCTTCCCCACTCCTCTCCCCTCCCCCTCCAAACCCAACTCACCCCATCACACTCCTAGGGGAACGAAGAATGACACGAATATAAAGACTCGGAGGTCCGCGCGGATTTCTCGGACAGGCGCTGGACCCCCCTCCCTGGCGCGCGGAGCGCGCCAGGGGCGGCGCCGGAAGCGCCGCCAGGGGGTCCCAGCGCCGATCCGAGAAATGCGTGCGGACCTTCTAGTTTTTATGTTTGTGTCATTCTTCGTCCCCCTAGCTCCACGCCTTCTCCAACCCTGCCCCCCTCCGTTTCCTCGTCGTCCCTCCCCCTCTCCCCGTCCCTGCCGTTCCGCGCGCACTCCTCTTCGTCACCGTCCTTCTCCTCCGCCGCCGGCCCTCATCACCACCATCATCACCATCACCATCACCATCACCATCACCATCATCATCATCATCATCATCATCATCATCATCATCATCATCATCATCATCATCATCATCACCATTACCATCACCATCACCATCACCATCACCATCATCACCATCACCATCACCATCACCATCATCATCACCATCACCATCACCATCACCATCACCATCACCATCATCATCATCATCAGCATCATCATCATCAGCATCATCATCATCCCCTTCCTCCTCGTCTGCATCCCGACCCCGCCCATATCATCCTCTTTCGTGTCCTCCTCCTCCTCCTACTTACTCTCCTCCCCCATCCTCTCCCTCTTCCTCGTCATCCGCCAGCTCCTCCCACCCTCCACGTCACCCTGTCCCTTCTCCCCCTCGTTCCCCCCTTCTCCTCACAGCTCGCGGGAGATCTGTTCCTCCTGCTCGCAGGATGCGTTGCTTTTCGGGGCATTTTCTGATTCACATGATTCCCGCCCCTCCCCCCCCAGCGATGGCATTTGAGCAATCCGGGGTTGCTGCCTTTGTGCAGGCGCTGCCCGAGGGGCCCCCCCGTTCAGCCAGCAAGCAGGTGGCCGAGGAGTGGTGTTCCTTCTTGTTGAGAGCTGATCCTACGCCCAAGGCTCGTCTTAGGTCGGGCGTGTCCCCCTACAGAAGGATTTTGGACGAAAAATAAAAAAGAGTCAAGAAATAGTTTGAAATACTCCAAACAATAAACATGTCCCCTGACTATATTTTGGCTATGTTTGTATATTCCTCTTGTAGAGGGACACGCCCGACGTAAGGCTCGTCATGACGTGTTCTGGTGACGGTACTTGTCCGCGCCCCTTCCTCATCCCTCTGCCTAACCCCTGCTCTTGTCCGCGCCCCTTTCCCAGACCCCCGACGTCATGATGTGTTCATGACGTCGACCCCCAAAGGTCTTGACCCATTCCCTGGGACCGGTTTTTCGTCCTGAGTCGTTTTTGTCACGGTCGAGGGCCGGTAAGGGCCCCAAGAGGCCGAACATAGCGAGAAACCTGCCGTCGCTATTGTTTCGTATCCCGAAGGGTCTGGGCTCCCGACGTCCCCACGCCGCTCGCCGCGGGGCGCGCCTGACTTCGCCGCACTCCGTGATCGTCTGGGAGGGCTCCACGGCCACGCCGCAGCACGCGGACGCCAGGCAGAAAGAGGCCATGGCACACGGCCTCCCGCGGGGGGCGACGGAAGGGGGAAGCGGGGAAAGAGGTGGCAAGAACGACGGGGGGGGGCGCCGGCCCGTGATGTGGGACAGCGGGAGCGTGATTTTTCAGTGGATACTCACGGAAGCCTCGCGTACCATCTTGTCGGCTTTTGCACATCGACGCTGATCGACGCTAGTCGACGCTAATCGACGCTAAATCGACGCTAATTGGCGCTAGCCGACGCTAAATCGGCGCTGTCTCATCGACTTCCAGACGCCAATCGACGCTAATCGATGTAAAAAAACAGAATCAAAAGGATATACTAGGCTTCCATGACTTGCCACGGACTGATTTGATGTGCCGTTGCATCGCTCAAGCAGCGCTCACTTTACAGAGTACTCGCCAGGCATGCTGCTGAGTTTGTTTTGGATGGGGTTCTGGCCAACCTAGTCGTTGTAGTTCCAAATGCTGTAGAGTGTGACTAGGTGTGTGTGTGTGTCTGCTTCATCGCCAGCGCAGTGACTCTGCCTAGCCGCCGACGCAAACAGTGTGTGTGTGTGTGTGTGTGTGTGCGTGCGTGTGTGTGTGTGTGTGTGTGTGTGTGTGTGCGTGTGTGTGTGTGTGTGTGTGCGTGTGTGTGTGTGTGTGTGTGTGTGTGTGCGTGTGCGCGTGTGCGTGTGTGCGTGTGTGCGTGTGTGCGTGTGTGCTTGTGTGCGTGTGTGCGTGTGTGCGTGTGTGCGTGTGCGTATGTGTTGTGTGTGTTGTGTGTTGTGTGTGAGTGTGTGTCTGCGAATCTGTGCTGCATGTGGCGTGCAACCCGGGGGCAAGGGGCACAGGACCGTGCAAATGGGAGCGTCGTGGCCGCGGTCCCGACGCTGACCAGAAGCAACAAAGCCGTTCGAGCGCCGCTGAGGCAGGGCACGGGCCTGCTCTCTCGAAATTGCGGAGGCGGCAGTGCCCCTTCCCCTCCACCTCCTCCTCCTCGTCCTCCAGCTCCTCCTCGATACTCCTCTTCTTCCTGATCTGCTTCTGGGTCAGGTGGTGGGGGTGGGAGTGGGGGAGACTCTGATGAGCGATACTGTATGTTCCTTAGTCTTGCTTCGTGGCGATTTCCCACAGGGGGCATTGTGTGTGAATGTACGGGGATCCTGTGCTCCTGGGATGCACCGTGTAGCGCCGCCAGAGCGTCGGAGGATGAGAGGGGAGTTTCGGGAGGAAGAGGTGGAAGCGGAGCCAACGCCCAGGCGAGGAGGAGGAGGAGGGGGAGGAGGAGGGTGATGAGGAGGGGGGACTGAATGAAGAAGGGCAGAAGATGAACAGAGGAGGGCTGATGGTGAGGAAGGTTGGAAGGGACCGCGCCCAGCATCCGCTTGAATCCACGGAATTTGCTCGCTGGTGTCACTGGCTGACGGGGAATCGTCACCTGGGAAAGCAGGACTCCTCTGATCGCCACCCACTTCGTGGGGTGCTTCCTCCCTCGCATCTCCTCCTCCCTCCTTCCTCCTCCCTCGTCATCATCCCAATCCTGCTCAGATTTTTCAATATTTTGCCTGGATATTCATAATCCCTGCAATATGTTCCGATAGAATATCATGGTCAGCGGGCTCCGCCGATGGCATGAGGAAGAAGGGATAATGCCGTCAAGCGTACAATAGGGTAGCACTGAAGGGAGGAGGCCGGCCCGCCAGCCGACGCACGCGCGCGCGCCGCAGGCTCGCTCCTCTTCCGTTTCCCTAGAGCCAAAGTTGTAGCTGCGGGAGAGAAGCAGGCAGTACATCGGACAGTGCACGCAAGGCAAAAGAGCAGGAAGGGCAAGAGGATGGTGGTGCGGAAGGGGTGCATTGACTTTTTCGTCATGCTCCACCTGTACCTCACCCAGAACCGCCTCCTCATCCTCATCCTTCTGTTCGTTCTCCCCTGCACCTCCTCATCAGCTTGATCAATTCTCCAGCACCCCATCGTATTCTGCTGGCTGTGTCCCCTTTTCTCCACATGATCCACCCTCCTTCCCGCCTTCCCGTCAAGCAGTGAAGATACCCCTAACCCCTCAGCTCGCGAGGGGACCTAAGGTAGGAGGGGCCAGAAACATTAGAGATATAGGGCCTGTTTTACAAGTGTATTCAAACGAAACGACCCATATGTTTAGGGATATCCCTAAAACTGCAGACTTGAGCTAGGCCACGAAATCATCGTGCTATTAGGGTCAGGGGCTGCACCATGCTTCATGGCTTCCCTCCCTATCCCGCTGCCGTGAGAAGCTCAGGAGGCAACCACATGTGGGCCGCCGCGGCGCCCCCATACGGGAGGCCCCGCAGCCCTCCAGGGAGGGAACGAAGCGGGGACCGTGCAGGTGGTAGGGCGGCTACCCCCCCTCAAGACGAAGCCAGGACGAGGCTAAACACGGGTGAGAATAACTCCCCAGATCCCCGTTGCTATTTTGCCGGTTT